TGGATATACACCAATCATGGCCATCAAGGCACAGACTCGGGAGCCAAACTACCTTGGGTTCAGATCCTCTCATAGTGCGGTTGTTTTATTTGTAAATGGGGATGATAAATTCACCAACCTCACAGTATTGTTATGAGCATGGAACAAGTTAAGCAGGTAAAACATACATAACAAACTTCAAACATACTAAGCGCTTTGTAAGTGTTATAATTCAGGGCTCTCGTAGTAAAATGTATTATTTAGATAGATGGAGAGTGATGTTTATCTTAATATATCGATCCCCTAAAATAGAGTTTTGCCAAATATCTATGCCAATTTCTCTAAAAATGTGCATTTTGGGGCCAGCTTTAATATTTTTTAGAGCTATCATTTTGTGTAAATAAATTATATAGTTTATTTTTTCAAAGAAAAAAAGAGAAGGTTGTTTAAAATATTTCCTCTATACTAGGGAATGAGAACCAACATTTATTCGTTCTGCAATCTGTCCTAGATTATTCAAATACTGGTGTTGATAATGTTTTGTTTAATTTGACTATAAAACAGCTTTGCAAATAGTTATATTACTCAAAACTGGCTGAAAGAAACTATCAGCAAAGGCCTGAGAGCAGTTAAGGAGTGAATGATGGACCTCTAGTGGAAGAGCTTTCTAGGAAGAAGGAACAGCACATGCAAAGGCCCAGGGGTGGAAGTGGACCTGGAATGTCCAAGGAATGGCAAGAAAGCCACTGTGGCTAAAGTCTAAGCAAGAGCAAGAGTAGAAGGTGTTTCAAGAAACATGCATGAGAAGTTATCAGAACATACATGAAAGTATCATTAACGATAGCCAAACCTGGAAACAACAAGGCATCTAATAACAGAATGGATAAATTATAATATATTTAAATAACATGATCCTATATGGACACAAAAGGAAGAGAGATTATAGTTACCTTTAAGGAGGAAAGAGATATTTGTTATTAGAAAGGGGGCACAAAGGGACCTCTGGGAGGGCTGAGAAGAGGTAATATGGTGTGTTCCTTTTATGATCATTCATTTAGCATTTGTGTACCTTTCTGTACCTATGTTATATATCAATTTTTTTCAAAGATTTTTTTTTATTGATTTTCTGAGAGAAGAAAACTTCAATGTGAGAGAGAAATGAATCAGCTGCCTCCTGCACGCTCCCTACCAGGGATCAAACCTGCAACCTAGGCATGTGCCCTGACCAGGAATCCAACCAGTCACCTATGAGTGCATGAGATGACACCCAACCAACTGAGCCACACCGGCCAGGGCTGTTATATATCAACTTTTATACGCACAGCAGTGAATGGGAGAATTTGAGACAGCAAGTACAGATAATTCTTTCAAAAGTTTTTACCACAAGGGGAGCTGAGAAATAAGACAATAGCCGACAGGTTATTTTAAAGATGGGAGAAATGACTGTTTTGGAAACCCCACTTAGTCATTTTTGCCATGAAAGAGAAACACCTGTACTACTATTTACTTAATAGATTTTCTTTAAATTGGCTAATTTTTGACTTATTTTAAAAGCAGATTTCATATGAACACTATGATTTGATATTAACACTATGATCTTTAACAAACCACACTATGGAGCCGTGTTTTCTAAAATATCTTACTAGGCATATTTTCACTACAAAGTATCTATTTATTTGAAATTCAAATTTAACTGGGTTCTGTATTATTATTTGCTAAGTCTGTGGAAGAAAGTCAATTAAAATAGAGAGTATGAGAAGTATCAAGACAAAGGTTTTACAGGGTGTTAGGGCATATGTCAGGGGAGACTCCTGGGAGCTGAAAACACCCGAAATGAGTCAAGCTAAGAAAGTATGGCCAGTAGCATGCATTTCAAAATTTATTTATTTATTTTATTTTTTGGTACGTGCCCCTAGCGGGAACCGAACCCGGGACTCTCTAGTCCGCAGGCTGACGCTCCAACCACTGAGCCAAACTGGCCAGGGCTGCATTTCAAAATTTAATAACACAGCATCATAATCTGTGATTTAACTTTTTTTTTTGTATCCTCACCCGAGGACATTTTTGCATTTATCTTGAGATAGAGCAGGAGGCAGAGAGGGAGGAAGAGAAAGAGAGACATCAAGGTGAGAGAGACACTTTGACTGATTGCCACCCACACAACCCCAATTGGGGCCTGGGAACAAACTGCAGCCAAGGTACGTGCCCTTAGGGGGAACCAAACCCGGGTCTCTCTGGTTTGCGGGCTGACGCTCCAACCGCTGAGCCAAACCGGCCAGGGCTGATTTAACTTTTTGATGAGTAGCTGTTTTGTCTGCAGAACCAGATTTGAAGTTGCTTGAAGACAAGGACCATTTCTCTGTGTTCCCCATACCACCTAGTACTGTCAGGCACTGTAGTACATGCATGCGGTAAATTACTTCATGTATTGATTCAAGTGGTTTTATCCTCCTGAAGACTAAAAATATCCCATTCAGTGAAATTATTTTTAACTATTTCTTTTTTTAGTTTCCATTTTAAAACACTGCAGCCAAGAATCCAGTCTGGAACCTTGGACAGCCTTCATTTGTTAGTTTCACCATGGACTCAGTATGGCTGGAATGGGCACCTTCTTGGTATTTGGGTTTCTTCCAAACACTCCCTCCCATGTGCGGCACATTCTTGGTTGGATCCGAGGTACTGAAGCAGTTACTATAGTTGGGTATAAGAACACTTATCTAACAAACACACCCCACTCATATTTAAGTTCCTCTTTAACTGACTGCAGCTTGGAACTGGCCCCCATCTCCCCCTATAGTCAGCTCTAAGCTGGTCCAGGGTGAGATTTACCATAGTTGTTGGAAGAGCAAGGGAAGCTGACTTCTGACCACATCTCCTTGGCTCCACGTTAAAGACCAGAGAGGGACCCTGGCCAGTTTGGCTCAGCGGTTAGAGCGTCGTCCTGCGGTCCGGAGAGACCCGGGTTCGGTTCCCGCTAAGGGCATGTACCTTGGTTGCAGTTTGTCCCTGGACCTGGTTGGTCGTGCGGGTGGCAGCCATTCGATGTGTCCCTTTCATGTCGATGTTTCTCTCTCTCTCTCTTCCTCTCTCTCCTTCCCGCTCTAAAATGTCCTTAGGTGAGGATTAAAAAAAAAAAAAATAGACCAGAGAGGGGAGGACATAGCCCTGCTCCCACTGAGCACACCACTCCAGAGTGGCACATTTTCGACAATTTCTAAGGTAATATGCTGGCATGATAGATGTTAGACCCATCATGAATAAACTTAGTATGAAAAAAATATGTAGAGCAGGTAGTCAAAAGAGGAGCACTGATTTGTTTAAGTGTGCTCACTTTTCCCCCTTCAACTCCTTAAACTAGGTCATAATTATCATTCCTGCCCATCTCTGGACACGGCATATTTTGCTGTCTGGCCTAAGATTCTTCCTATTTTTTTTCTTTTACTACAAACCCCTAAGACAGCAACTAGGTCTAAAGTGTTATGAGGACTGGAAGCCTGGCCCCAAGTGGCCACCAAAGTCCAAAATGGCTTTAAAGTCTGGAAGAACCGTTTTCATGATTGCTTGGTCGTAAGGTTTCGCCTGACTTGTCTCAAAGAGAAACAAAGCTGGTCACCAGGTAAAGCGGTGAGGGCAGACTTAGTGATCACACTGCACCAGGAGAAGCGTCCAGCGTGAACTGAACTCAACTCCATTTGTGGAGATGACTGGAGGGGTCAGGGAGAGAATGAGGGAACAGGGCTCAGTGAGTCACGAAGTGAAGTTACCAAACCCCGGGGGAGAGTGAGACCCAGCGGCTTCTCCTGGGCCTTAGGAGGCAGGGCCTAGCGTAGGTGCTGAACAGTCGGTTCGCCGGCGGCCTGGAGGGTTTGCTCAGGCAGGCACTGGGGTCCGGCGTCCTCCCAGGGATGTGGCCTTGAGCTGTTAGAAATACGTTGGGGACTCATGTTTTCTAGTCCCAGGCTGAGACCCGCTGGAGAAGGAGGGGCGCCCAGAGGGCCCGGCCAGAGTTCCGTCAAGGGGAGAAGCGTATCACTTCTCAGTTAATCTAGTTACCAAGCGCCACCTCGTTCCCGTCCCAGAGTCTACAGGAGGGGTCCCAAGACCCTTAAAGTTAAGCTGCTCCTCCTGTTTCCCGGGGGCCCTTTTTCAGGTTTTAAAAACAGCAGACGCGCGGCGGCGCTGTCTGAACGTCAGCAGCCGGGAGCCGAGGCTGCCGTCGGGGAGGACTACACCTCCCAGCGGTCCCGGCGACAGAAAACTCTCGACCCTCAGGCGCCGTCCCCTGCGGCCCAGGGGCGCAGCTCTTCTCGTTCCCTCCGAGGGCGGCACGGGCTTCCGGCGGGCGGCCGCACCCGGAGTCGCAGGACCGCCGACCACCCCTGCTTCCGCCGAAGAGCTGGTTCTTCTGGGAGGCAGAGCCGGCGCGGCGGAGGCGCGCTGACGTCACTTCCGCTGGGCGGGCTGCGGGCCTTCCCGCGCAAATTGAAAGGTTCGGTGCTGCAGCGCGGCAGCCGCGGGGCTCGGCGTGGTTCTGTGTGGTTCGCGGCGCCCGCCTCCGGTGCTCCGGCCCAAGTGAGTCAGGGAGGGTGCGGCCGGGCTTCGGAGCCCCCACCCGGCTGCCCTCGAGCGGACCGGCGGAGCGGGCTGTGCGGAGGCTTGGGGTGGGTTCCTGCAGCTCCCCGCGGGGTCGGTGCGCGCGTCCCCACGTTGCGGTCGGGATTGCGGGTCTGCGTGGGCTCCCGACGCGGCGGGCCGCTGCCCGAGTGCAGTTCGTGGGCCGGGAGGGTGTTTGGGCCCGAGGGAACGAGCTGGGCCGGGCCGGGGCTGCAGTTCGTGCCGAGGGGCCGCCCGCGCTCCCCGCGGACCGTTCCCTGCAGCCCGGCACCGGTATCGGATCCGGCCTTCCCGAAGCCAGGAGTCCCGTCTGTACGTGGCGATCTCCCACCTTTTAAACGTTCTCCTTAACGCAGGCCAAAGAGAGCGTGTGTCCCGGAGCGGGAACTGAACCGGAGGCTCGCGGGCCGCCCCTGCCCGTCTCTGCGCCGGAGGAATGAGGCGGTGACGCTGCCGCTGCCGCTGGTACCTCGGGTGCCCGGTGCCCGCTGGAGGTGATGGGCGTCCTGCGGCGCTCGGCACTCGCGCTGCGCTGAAGAGGACATGTGTATTCGAGGGCATCGACCTCCCTTAGGAGAAACAACGTTTCCCGACATGTACACCGTGTCCGTCTTCCTCCCAGTGCAAGAACACTGTTATTAGGGACATTATCTGAGAGATGGGAGGTTAATTGTCGTTCTCGAAGGCCACGAACCTCCAGATTACCTGCTGTGACTATAAATCAGAACCCCCCACCTCGCTGGGGTGGAGTTGAGAATCTGCAAACTGCTGCAGTTGGGGAACCGCCGGACTGGACTGGAGCATCAGAGCCTCAGTACGGGATCGGCAGGGTGAGGCTGCCTTCTGATCTGGGCTTGCTTCTTCCCTTCCTCCCACACTTAATGCTCCGTGGGAGAGATTCGTGCTATGAAATGCAAGGGCCGTGGCAGTTCCACACTTTCTGTATAGAAAGGGCTTAGGGGCTGCGGCCTGGATGGAAGAGGGTGGTGGTATGTTGCAGCATCTGCCCTGAAGCATTTGTGATATTTTTCCGTTGACATGCCTACCTTCCTACAAACCGTTTTGCGTTTGCACTCCTATGGTCATTTGCATGTTGGCTCTTACAGGGTCTGTGTAGAGGGAATGTGATGCCATAGCAAGAACAATGTTGTAGGTTTTAGCAATGCCTTTTTAGAGAAGAGAGACTCGTACTATTTCAGCACCCCCCTGTGTCTAGTACTGTGTTAAGGGCTTGGAGCTCATGTGGGAAAGAATAAACATTAAGGAACTATCAAGTGGCATCAGAAGGTAATAATAGGGTTTAGTTAGTGTAAGAATTCTAGACTATGGAAATTGTGTGACAGAGAGGAACCCAGTTAAAATATTTGAGAATATTGATTCTCAAATATTTGAACAGTAACAGGTCTTTATCAGGTTCCAGGCTCCTTTTTTTTTTCTAAAACTTTTGGGTAAATACATATTTGCTTTAAATATTGTTGTCTTCCCTTCTTTCATGTCATGTAGTTAATTTGGCACGATGGGGATACAAGGATTACTGCAATTTATCAAAGAAGCTTCTGAACCCATCCACATGAGGAAGTATAAAGGGCAGGTAGTAGCTGTGGATACGTATTGCTGGCTTCACAAAGGCGCCATTGCTTGTGCTGAAAAACTGGCCAAAGGTGAACCTACTGATAAGTAAGTCTGGACCTCATGTTAACTAGTTGCCAATTAAGAGTGAGAATTACAGTGCCTTATTTTCAGAAAAGGATCCTTTTCATTCAATGCCAAGTTTATCAAGAAGTGAGAGTTTATGTTTTAGAATGTTAAATCAGGAATGACTTCCTTTTGTGATATAGGCCTAGTTTTTATTTGGAATAAGCCATACTATCAGCATACTGATGGACAAAGACCAGAGATTGTCTCCTTTATTCTTTGTTTAAGATAAACTTTTTTAACAATATTCTAAAAATCCAAAGTGATTTCAGACTTCTACTTTCTTGGGTACAACAACACTGCTAAGCCCTGCTACCAAAGCAAGGCATTTGCTTCAAAGGGGCAAGGTATTGTGACTCCCTTTTACTTCACTTGGGGACAAAGCTGGTGGGCCATGTTGACATCCAATTACAACTGTGACCTCATTTGAGGCAGGACTGTTGTCCTCTTTAATATTTTAAATAGAAACATTTTTTGTTAATCCTCACCAGAGGACATTTTTCCATTTTTTATTCAGATAGAGCTGGAGGGAGAGAGAGGAAGAGAGAAAGAGAGAGACATCAATGTGAAAGGGATGCATCAAGTGGCTGTCACCCGCACAACCAAGCCAGGGCCGGGGACAAACTGCAGCCGAGGTACATGCCCTTAGTGGGAACCGATCCTGGAACTCTTTGGTCTGCAGGCCAATGTTCCAACCGCTAAGCCAAACCAGCCAGGGCGAGATCCTTTTTTTAAATGAAATGGTGGGAGATATAAATGTGGCTACTATTTTTGTTACTTGCCTTGTCATAATAAACTAAATGCAATGCCTGATCCTTGTCTGAATCCTGGATTGGGGAGGTGGATTTGTAGCAGTGCTGTGTTGGAGCTAGTTCATTCAAGTGTACCATATACTATCTCCTCCCAGTTCAGTGACCCCCACATTGGTAGTTTGTCCTTTGTTGTAGCATATTCAGGTCAGGGAAATTGTAATGCTACGATTACAGGCCCTCGCCCCAAAACTGAGTTTTGAACGTTTACCAGGACACCACTGATTATAAGAAACTTTATTGGGACAGTTGGATAAATTATAATATACACTGTATATTAGATGATATTTTATTGCTGTTAAATTTGTATTGCATACAAATTTATTGTATGATAATGGTATATTTGGAGGAATCGGGAATTTATTGTACTATCCTTCCAACTTTTCAATAGATTTGAAATTTTTCCAAGTCCCTCTTCTCCCCCCGCCCCAAATCTAGCGGGGGGGAAGGCAAGATTTGGAACCATAAAATGTTAGAACTGGAAGTGTCAAAGTCTTGTAATCTACAGATGAAAGCAAGGCTTAAAGGGTAAAGTAACTCATATAGCTCATTAGGATCCAAGACAGGATTTGAACCCAAGTCTAAATTAGTTTCCATTTCCTATGAAAACGTCTTAAAACACAAAACAAAACATAAACTTCTTTTCACAATTCATCTCATCTGGTTTTAAAAAGAACAAAAGTATATTACCTTACAGCATACAAAACACTTACATGTATTTTCTTTATTTTCATAGGTATGTAGGATTTTGTATGAAATTTGTAAATATGTTACTGTCTCATGGAATCAAGCCTATTCTTGTATTTGATGGATGTACTTTGCCTTCTAAAAAAGAAGTGGAGAAATCTAGAAGAGAGTAAGTTGAGTCTCTATTTAATCTGACTTGATTTTATTGAAGTCTGATGCTGAAGTTTGTATAATACCATTTTATTTTAATTTGTTGAAGCTTGTTTTATAGCCTAGTACATAAACAGATTTCCTTAATACATAAACAGATTTCCTTAAATTTTCCACGAGTGCTAGAAAGGAATGTGTATTAGTGGAAGGTTTTTTTTTCTGTCCAGTAAATCAAGCTTGTTGATTGTAGTGTTCAAATCTTCCATATCTTATCTTTACTATGGTTTTTTTGTTTGTTTTTTATGTGTCTTCTTAATCTATCAATTACTTAGAAAAAGTTAAAATTTTAGTATGTAGTGGATTTGTTAATTACCTTGTAGTTATGTCCATTTTTTTAAATTGAATTTATTGGGGTGACATTGGTTAATGAAATGATATAGGTTTCAGGGGTATAATTCTATAATATATTATCTGTATATTGTATTGTGTGTTCACCACCCCAAGTCAAATAAGTATTTTTTAATTGATTTTTAGAGAGAGAGAAATATCAGCGCTAGAGTGAAGCATCTCTCTCAGCTACCTCCTTCACGCCCCCTACTGGGGATAGAACCCACAACCTAGGCATGTGCCCTGACCAAGAATCAAACCAGCAACCTTTCAGTGCATGGGAGGACACCCAGCCAACTGAGCCACACTGGCCAGGGCCATCTGTCCATTTTTTGCTGTGTTTATTTTTAAGCTTTTTTTTTTTTTTTTTTTTTAATACTCACCCGAGGATATTTTTACATTTATCTTCAAACAGAGTAGGAGGGGGAGAGAGAGAAATGTCGATGTGAGAGAGACACATCAATTGGTTGCCACCTGCATGACCCCAACCAGGGCCGGGGACAAACCGCAACCAAGGTACATGTTCTTGGCCAGAACCGAACCCAGGACTCCCAGGGGGTCCACAGGCTGACATTCTAACCGCTTAGCCAAACCGGCCAGGCCTGAAGCTATTTTATTGGTTGCATTCAAGTTTAGAATCTGTTGTTTCTGTGGTAAATTGAAACAATAATCCTTTTCTACAAAGTCTTTTCATCTGGACAGCTCAGTCTAAAAGTGGAACTAGGGAATTTATGCCTATGTATATGTGTGCATTTACTTTAAAAAACCTCATTAGTTCAGATTGATACTTCCAATTCAAATTCAGGGTTCAGGTGTTTACTTCTGTACTACATCTGTGTCCCCTTCCTTCCATACTGAGAGTCCTTGTTTTTAAAGGTACAGGGGATGATAAAGTTAGAACATATTATAATTACAGTTATCCCCCCATATTTAATGGGAACACCATCCAAGACCCAATAACTATTAGTAAAATACAGCAGTCATAATAAGATGATAAAAGTTATGTGAATGTTGTCTCTCTCTCATTGTAATGATGTGAGATGATGCAGTGCCGACATGATGAGATGAAGTGAAGTAGACACACTGGACAAAGGGATGATTTACCTCCCGGGCAGGATGGAGCAGTATGGCACAGGATTTCCTCCTGCTACTCAGAATGGTGCACAATTTAAAAGTTAATAATTTTATTTCTGGAATTTTTCTCCTAATATTTTGGGTCGGCAGTTAATTGCAGGGAACTGGAACTGCAGAGAGCAAAACTGGGGGAAAGGGGGCGATAACTACACATATATTTTCTCCACATACTCAATAGTACTGATACTTCCACTCCCAATATGATTATTGAAAACAGTTAAAATTTCTTTTTCTTTCCTTCACATGTACTCTCTTTCCATTTAAAAAATGGTGCTATATTGTCAGGGCATGTAGCTATGGCGCTGTACCTGTTTAACCCTTGTTTAGTCTTGATTCTGCAAATTACCAAATATCTCATGGTTGTTAACAGTCCTTATGTCAATGTCTCTCGTGTTATCTTGGTTTTTCTGAAGTTTGTCCTCTAGGAGATTTCACAGAGAAGATCACATAAACAGTCTTCAAGTTCCTTATATATTGATTCAAGTTTCATCCTTTATATTTCAAAGTAGTTTTGATGGTGTAAAAGCCTTGGCACACATTTTCTTTTTTTTTTAAATCCTCACCCAAGGATATTTTTGCATTTTTTGTTCAGATAGAGTGGGAGGGAGGGAGAGAGAGAAACATCGATGTGAAAGGGACACATCGAGTGGCTGCCACCTGCATGACCCAACCAGGGCCAGGGACAAACTGTAACCAAGGTACGTGCCCTTAGCAGGAATCGAACTCGGGTCTCCCTGGACCACAGGCTGACGCTCTAACCACGGAGCAAAACGGGCCAGGGCCACATTTTCTTCTTAAGTGACTTAGCTATTCATTTTCTTTTGACGTGTAGCATTGCTGTGGAAAAGCCTAGTGAGCTGATGTGTGAGTGAGTTACAAATCACTTGATCGTTTTGCCTAGAAGCCCAAGGGGTCTGGGTTAATATTCTCAAGGATCTGGTGTGCACCTTCAAATGAGTCAAACAATTTTTTTTATTCTAGGAAAATTTCTTGAATTAGAGTTTTGTTATAGCCTCTTGATTTTTTTTCCCTTGCAGAAGACGACAAACCAACCTTCTTAAGGGAAAGCAGCTTCTTCGGGAGGGGAAAGTTTCAGAGGCCAGAGAATGTTTCACCCGTTGTATCAATATCACACATGCTATGGCCCACAAAGTAATCAAAGTAAGCCAAATAAGAAATAATGGCAAAGTGACCAGTGGTGAAGTTCACTGAAGCTGGTTATAAGGTGTTTAGTAAAGGAAGAGCAAGAGAATGAGGGGAGGAAAATTCCTGTAGGCCTAACCCACAACAGGGCCGACGTGAGATGGAGAAGGGAACAGCATCTTCAGGTAGAGGAATTCAGTTTCCAAGGGAGAGAGCCTAAGGAATAAGCTGAGCTCTCCCTGTTTAGATATGTCACTTGGATGAAGTCCATCAGCGTGTCCCATAGAGATGGGAGTGGTACCTTCCTGAAGGGCCAGTCGCACCCCACTCTCATAGAGTCCTCAGCATTTACTGACCTTTCACTCCTAGACAACTGGCAGAGATCTCTCCAACCAGCCTTGCACAGGAACTCGGCAGACTTCAGCCTCCCTGATCTGCTCTGCTTAGAAGTGTCCTCTTTGTCACTAAATAATAGTGTCCATGTGCCCACGACCCCAGCCCTCCCTTCCCCTTTTCAGGCCTTTGTTCGGACTACTTGATAAACAAATGGGAAAGTAAATAGAGTAATTAGGTTTTATAGTTTATGAGTGTCAGATAGACTTTTGTAGTCTGACGAGAGAACCTGTTATTTTTATGGGGAAAATATATTCAGAGATCTAAATGTGTCTTATCTTTGGGAGCCTAACCATTCTTAAGATGGAAGCTTTCTATAATTTGAAATAATTAAATTTTGTGGCTTATAGTTATTGCTCCACCCCCAGTATATAGTAGTATTTTTTCTTCAAATTTATAAATTGATTTTTTTAAAGACTTTTTACTGATCACTTATATATATGTTCACTTCAGTATATACTAGGACTAAAAATAGAAAAAGCGTACTTGAAATGATTTTCGAAAACAGTATCATGCATGTTAAAGCTGGTAATAAAATGGACTTGAAACAGGCAGTTGTTTAGTGTTTCCAGATGCTGTTCTGCACATTGACTGATCCTCTCCCACAGGCTGCCCGGGCTCAGGGAGTAGACTGTCTCGTGGCGCCGTATGAAGCGGATGCACAGTTGGCCTATCTTAACAAAGCTGGTATTGTACAAGCTATAATCACAGAGGACTCTGACCTCCTCGCTTTCGGCTGTAAAAAGGTACTAAAATAGTATAAATCAAGGAGCTAAAGTTTTTCTTCTCCGGTAATATTTTATTTAATACCTGAAATTAATACCTACTTGCAGTATTTGGTTTTTTATCCTCGCCCGAAGACATTTTTGCATTTATCTTCAGATAGAGCGGGAGGGAGAGAGGAAGGAAGAGAGGGAGAGGAACATCAATGTGAGAGAGACACATCGAGTGGTTGCCACCCTCACAACCCCAACTTGGGCTGGGGCCAGGGACAAACTGCAACTGGGGTACGTGCCCTTAGCAGGAACCGAACCCAGGACTCTCTGGTCCGCAGGCCAACACTCTAACCGCTAAGCCAAACCAGCCAGGGACCTACTTGCAATGTTAATAATTATTTTATTTAAAATGAAAAGACGGGATTTGCTGCTTGACATTTGTGTAATCTGGGTGCTTTTTCAGAGGAAGCCCTTAAAGTTACAGCATTTTATTATTGTTTTGTCCAAGTATTTTAGCTAAATATAGACTTATTAGTCTTATTTTTTTGACAATGGTAATGTATATGCTTTATGTTTTTCTATTAGGTAAATTCATTTGTCTGTTAATGGGATTGTGTATAAATATTTAATGGAAATTTTTATGATATGATCGTATAGAATGATCTGATTTTTATTAATACATGTGTTATTTGTATTTTCTATATATTTCATAGATGACTAGAAGGATCTACGTCAAAAGGTTAATGCTGGGTAACAGTGATAGAAGAGAGAGTTAGGGCAACTTCTATTTTATTCCTCCTGAATTTCTACTTTCCAAATTTTCTATAATGAACATGTATTACTTTAGAGTAAGAAAAAGGGGCCCGGCTGGTGTGGCTCAGTGGATTGAGCGTCGTCCCTTGGACTGCGAGGTCCTGGTTCGGTAGGAAGTGAAGAGGTGCAGAAAGGGTGTTCCTGCCATCAGAGTCAGCGCCTGTGCTTCAGCTTAATGTATTCGCGGGTATCACAGTAGTTAACGCGCATGCCTCTCTCGCCTCTCATTGTTATGATGAAGAACAAGAAAGATTTCTTAGAAATAGTGCAGTGAATTGTATAATAAAAAATAAAAATGTCCCTTATAGGTGTTCACAATCCCCCTTCCTTTTGAAGGTGATATTAAAAATGGACCAGTTTGGAAATGGGCTCGAAATTGATCAGGCTCGGCTGGGAATGTGCAGACAGCTTGGAGATGTGTTCACAGAAGAGAAATTCCGTTACATGTGTATTCTTTCGGGCTGTGACTATCTCTCATCACTGCGTGGGATTGGATTAGCAAAGGCCTGCAAAGTACTGAGGCTAGCCAATAATCCAGATATTGTAAAGGTAAGAGAGATGTACCAAGTGGCATTCGATTTCTGAAGAATTTCTTAAATAATAGATAAGACACTCAAAATATGGGTTGTATATTCTATTAACGTTAATAGCCAATAATGTGTCACTGAAATTAGAAAATGACTAACACGCTAGAACTTCGCTTTTAGCAACTGATGAACCATGTTTTAAGCAATTGACAAAAAAGTAGTAGTAATTTTTAAAATGAAGAGTAATATAATATAGAGACTTAAGGGCTATTTAAAATAGTCTAGGGTAGGAACGTTAAAATGTACCATCTTTTGATTTCTGTCCTATTACTTAATAGTAGTGGCTCTCAAACTTTTGGTCGTAGTATCTCTTTATACTCTTAAAAGCTCTTTGTGGTGGTAGTTTTTTTTTTAATATGGGTTATAGCTATTGAGATTTACCAAGTCAGAAATTAAAATAAAAGTTGAAATATTTATTAATTCACTTAAATTAATAATAAATTCATTATGTATTAACATAAATAGTATACTTTTATGAAAAATAGCCATGTAGTCTAAAACAAATGAAAATTATGAGAAGAACTGTACGTTTATGTAAATATCTTTTACGTGGCTTAAGCAGAGACAGCTGGGCTCTCCTCTCTGCTTCCTTATGCAGTCTGATGTAATATCCTGTGTCGTGGAGCCTCTGGAAAATTCTGAGTTACGTCACATCACTGTTCTGTAATTTCTCTGATGGCCTTACCTTGAAACAATCAGCCTACATTAAAGAAGCTAATTCTCTCCCCTTTGGGTGGTTCTCTAAAGCCCTTCAAGTTGGCAGAGCAGAGGTCCCACTTTCTGTCTCCAAGAGGGCAGAGTATGAGTCCTCAGGGCTCAGGTGGTACAGCGTCATGGAAAGATCTCTGCCTTGGGAGAAGGTGGCAGAGCTGGGGATAGAGCGATATGCCCTTACCAGTCTGACCCCAAGGTCACTTCTCTGGGTCTTCCCTTCTCTCGCTGTGAGTTTGATGTAAAATATTTAAAACCACTTCCAGCTTTAATCATCTATGACTTTAATCATCCATGACTCTGTTCATAGGAATTAGATTGCCAACTTCTCTTTTAAAATATGATATAAGAATACTTGGGTTTTTTTTTTAACCCTGGAGTTGTGTTTGTATGTTTTTTGCCTTTTGAATGAAAGGGACTTTGAGGGTGAAGAATATGTATCTTAAAGTTACACCTAAGCATGTAAACTTGATGTGTAACTGAATTTTTCATTCTTTGGATTACTAATAGAAAAAGCAAAGAGCCCTGGCCAGTTTGGCTCAGCGGTTGGAGCCTCAGCCTGAGGACCAGAGAGTCCCAGGTTCGGTTCCCACTAGGGGCATGTACCAAAAAAAAAAAAAAAAGAAAGAAAGAAAAAGCAAAGAAAATACTGTTACTGGGAATTAGAATTTCAAGTGAGTGACATGGTTGTGTTTGCTGGTGGAGGTTTTTAATGTAGATAAAGCAATTGGTTTTTCTATTTCTCCTCATCGCCCATGTAAACCGATTGGTCTTGGGGCTAATATGTTCTGTATTCTTTATTTGCTGATAACTTGTAAATATTTTTGCATCCATTATTAGGTTATCAAGAAAATTGGACATTATCTCAAGATGAATATAACAGTACCAGAAGATTACATCAAAGGATTTATTCGGGCCAACAATACCTTCCTTTATCAGCTAGTTTTTGATCCTATCAAAAGGAAACTCATCCCTCTGAATGACTATGGAGATGACATTGATCCTGAAACTCTAAGCTATGCTGGGCAGTATCCTTTCTGAACCAGAGTGGTAGAATTTTTCCATTCTTCCATGTGTTTATGGTGGCATTTTTAGTGAAACATTCAGTGAAAAGCTAGCAAATAGTTTACTTTCTTTTTTATAGTGAAATCTGTAGTTTGTTCATTTTAATTGCCATGCTGGTGAAAATTTAGAACCGCTTCTTGTTTATAAATCTGAGGCTTATTTGTTATAATTTGCTAATTACTTGATAGAAGCATGTCCAGAGTCTATCACTTAAGGAACACATTCCAGAGGTGGCATTTACGGGAAACACTCGTGGCGAGCAAGCTCGGTGCACTAGGACGGGCATCCTGGGCATGTGAGGACTCCAGCTGAGGTGCCCTACCCACGCCACTGGCCACACACTTGGGCAGTGCAGAGCCCTGAGCCGCTCGGTTTGGGGCCAGGACTTTCCGTCTCTCTGGAAAGGAAGTAAGTGGTGGCTTGGGGCTTTGCTTCAGAAAACAGCCAACCCTGCACTGGTAGGTAGAGATGAGTAAATATGCCTGGTTTCAGTAATGCTGAGTGTAGAAGTAGGGTCCACTGATGTTACAAACCCGAAGATTTTCTGTGACAATAGAAGACACTTTTCTATCTTAATTCAGTGTTTTTTGTTTGGTTGTTAATAGAATCATTTTTCCTTAATCTTACCAACCTAGGTATATTGATGATTCGATAGCTCTTCAGATAGCACTTGGAAATAAAGATATAAATACCTTTGAGCAGATTGATGACTACAATCCAGACACTGCTACGGTAACATTTCAATAGCTTCTTTCTAAAGGCACATTTAGTTATGTGTCGGGAACCGTGACAAAGGCAAATCTTCATTTAGTAAACATTTTCTAAGCATTTCTATATCCGGGCACTATGCAGAGTATAGATGGAAAATAACTTAAATATATCTTAGAACATAGGTATATGGCTTAATTTTCTTAAATTAAAAAGCGACCACATTTATATGTTATCAAACCTTTAGACTTGGACATTTCATTTAAATATACCAAGCATCCGATGCCTTCTTTCTCATCTCACTTGGTTCAGTCTTTGTCATTTGGGATTGTTGAAGACCTAAACCTAGAAACACTGCCCTTGAGAGTACACGCTGGTTTTCACTTGTTCACATTTTAGCAAATGTTTGATGAGTGCCCTGCTGTGTTCTTAAGCCCTTTCTTGTTTTCTTCTACTTTTGCCCAGTTGTTTATTGCGGTCCACTCTCCCACCATACTCTCTTTTCTGTTCGTATATTCATTCAGACTCTGTTCTCTTTTCTTTTTTCTTCTTTTAATTTTTTCTTTATTGGTTTTAGAGAGAGAGAGGGAGGGAGAGAGGGAGTGATAGAAACATCAGAGAGAGAATATTGATTGGCTGCCTCCTGCATGGGCCCCATGGGGATTTGGCCCACAGCATGGGCATGTGCCCTGAACAGGAATCGAACTAATGACCTCTTGGTGCTTGGGTCAATGCTCAACAATTGAACCACACTGGCCAGGCCTCTGTTCTCTTTTCTAACCCAATCTCTAGTCTGTGTACCAGCCACATATTTCTAAATGTCTCTTGAATCTCTACATAAACGACTTCCTCTAACCTTGAGTCTTTACACAGTCAAAATCAAACTCTTCTTCCTCATCAGCTTTCCCTAATAACATTTCTGTCTCTCTCTCTTGAGCACTTACTGCTACATGATTTATGTCTCTATGGCTTATTTTCTGATTCTTCCCCAAAAATGTAATCTTCATAAAGGCAGGGTTTTATCTTTCATTGCTGAGTTCTTTCAGGCAAGGATCCTATTTTTTGCTTCTTTGGACTTCGGAACACTAGCTAACCTATGTCTAACGTGCTTAGTCAAGGACTGAACTAATCAGAATGAGGAAGAGTAAACAGCCCTAGATTGTACTGGAAACTATAAGAAAGAATAAACCAGCAAGACAACTAAAAGAAGCAAAAGGGCCCTGGCCAGTTTGGCTCAGCAGTTAGAGTCTCAGGTTTGATTCTGGTCAAGGGCACGCACCTCGGTTGTGGTTTAGTCCCCGTTTCTGGCAACTAATTGATCTGTCTTCCCCGCCCCACACACAATCTGATGATAAATTGAACAATATCCTTGGGTGAGGATTTTTTTTTTTTTAAAAGATGCAGCAGCAAAAGGACTTAGCAATGAAAGCAGGCCAGCTTGTTTCTAAATGTTGTGGTCAGAGGATAAAAGGATCATGTATGTAACTGACATTTATTCATCCAACAAATAAAGGTGGTAAATATACCAACAATACTAACTAGCAAAGAGCCCTGCTCAGAGGAAATCTTTATATTGTCCACTAAAGATGGTTCCAAGTATGGCTTTAATAGAATCTAGTGTTTTGTAAATTGTTTTGATTTGACTCAGCCAGTTTCTAGAGGTGTGATGTTTGATTGCCTTAAATACATGATTTTATGGTTTTAACTTTTGGGTGCTTTGTAAAGGGTGCGTAAATTATTACTTAGAGCTTATTGACAGGTGGTTATTAAACTAATTAATGTTGTGTGCTGAGATAATTTTTAAGAGTAAATTTTAAGAGTACATTTTTTCTGTCCACATTTCTTCAGTTGCGGTCTCATATCTTACACCATTCATCTTAGGAAGTTTATTATTTATTTCTTAGAAATCAGCTAACAAGGTCACTTAACCCTCGTTAAAAGAGAAACAAATATAAGAATACAAGACACATGTAACAGAAAAGTATAGGACCAGAAAAGTAGAAAATATTATTAGAGGACACATATTTCGTCAAAAACCGGTTCTTTTTAAGCGTAATTTAATTATTTGCTTATAGTTTATGTTGATAAAGAGGAAAATAAATGGACTATTTTTCTTCAAGTAACTTTTTTTTTTCTTTTACTGTTTAGCCTGCCCAATCAAGAAGCCGTAGTTGGGATGATAAAACATGTCAGAAGCCATCTAATGTTAATAGCATTTGGCATAGGAATTATTGCCCTAGACTTGAGCTGCCTATTGGTCCAGAAGCTACAAGATTGAAAGAAAATCCGAGTACCGTGGGCATTGAAAAGGTGATTAGTACTAAAGGGTTAAATCTTCCAAGGAAGTCGTCGGTTGTGAAAAGACCAAGAAGTGGTATGTGTTTCATTTTTGTGAAATACTAGTGAGCGTTGGTCATGTTTAATCTTTGCTAAAACCAAGGTCACTAAGATTTTCTCCTGTTTCTTATCTTTCTTTATTATCTCATGAGGCTATTTTTTCCATTGATTTTTAGAGAAAGTGGGAGGTGGGGGAGAGAGAGAGAAACTCTGATGGCTTGCCTCCTGAACATGTCCTGATAGTGCTGGGGAGCAAACCTGCAACCCAGGTGTGTGCCCTTGACCAGGAATTAAACCCTTCTGTTGATGGGCTGACACTTTAAGCACTAAGCCACACTGGCCAGGGCTCTCCTGGTTTTTTTGTTTTGTTTTGTTTGTTATTTATTTATTTTTTTCTTTATTGATATTAGAGACAGAAAGGAAGGGAGAGGGAGAGAGAAACATCGATGAGAGAAAATCAATTGGCTGCCTCCTGCATGCCCCCCACGGGGGATCAGGCCCACAATCTGGGCATGTGTCCTGAGTGGGAATCGTACTGGCGACCTCTTGGTGCATGGGTTGACGCTCAACCACTGAGCCACACCAGCCAGGTTCTCCTAGGTTTTTTTTTAGATGTTTTGTAGTTTTAACTCTTATATTTAGATGTATGGTCCATGTTGGATTGATTTTATTTATTTTTTTTTTATGGTGTAAGGTAAGAATCAAGATTCACTTTTTTTGTTTGTGGCATTTCAATTGTTCCAGCCCCGTTTGTTGTAAACATGATCCCTTCCCTGTTGAATTGCCTTGGCCATATCTTTGTGGGTTTGCCTCTGACCTCTTGTTTCGAACCATCTCTCTTCCTGTCCGTGTGCCAGACACGCTGCCTTGAGCTCGGGAGCTTTATGGTCAGTTCTGAAACCGAGGAGTGCAGTCCCTGAGTTCTTTTGGAAGACTTGTTTCAGCTAATTCTGTGTGCACGTTTCCATTTAAATCTTAGACTCACCTGTCAGTTTCTTTTTTAAAAAAAACCTGCTGTGATTTTGATTGGGATTTCGTTTAAGCTATAGATCAAGTTGGGGAGAACTGACATCTGAACACTTGAGTTTTCTGATCCATTTATTTAAGTTTAATTTGAGTCTTCAGCAGTGCTTTATAGTTTTCACTTCACAGGGCTTGCACATCCTTCATAAAACTTACCCCTATATTTTAGACTTTTTATACTATTGTAAGTGATATTTTCATTTTGATCTCTAGTCGGTCATTGCTAGTATATAGAAAGATAATTGAGTTTTGTATATCAATCTTGTATTCTGCCACCTTGCTAAATTCCCTTTTATAGACTCTATAGGATTTTCCATAGAGATGATCGTATTTCCAAAAGTAAAGATAGTCTTGCTTCTCCTTTTTCAGTCTGGATGCCTTTTGTTTCTTTTTCTTGCCTGCTGGACCTTCCAGTGCACTGTTGAGCAGAAGTGCTGAGTGGACACTAGGTATTGGGCAAAGTTTTTTGTTTGTTTGTTGTTGTTTTTTTTACCATAGAACATGTTTAGAAATAGAAAAAAATAATTGTAATCTTTTTTTTTCTCTTCTTTCTCTCTAACATCTACATGAATGAATAAAAGACCAAAAAAATAAAAAGCCTTTGAAAACTTGTAGTTCATGCTTTTATTTTTTAAATTTAGGTATAGATTATATATGTATGGCCGAAATGTCCTGATTCTTTGTGAACCTGATTCTTTTCATGATGATATTTCTGAACCTTTGTTTCCTTTTCTGAAATGGGAACGAAATTGCGTGTTTCACAAATTTTTATGTATGTTACATAAGATAACATAAAAGCTGGTGCACAGCAAGCACACGTACATGTCAACTCCTGCCCTTCTGCTGCCATCAAGACAAACCATGCTTTTTGTGTAGGGGCTCATGACTAGGAAGTTCTTCATGTCAAACTAAGGCTGCTTTGTCAAACTACATTTTAGCAATGGATTTTGCCCCTGGGCATACACACAAAAACAAAACAAAGTTGGAACCCTCTTGTATGTGGCAGCTTTTCGTGTATTTAACGAGCCATTGTGACCCTCCTCCATTTCTTTGCCAAACTAAAAGTTCCTCATCTATTCCCAGTTGAGCTTAATTGTGTAACTGTTGCAGTGAGTGATTGTTGATATGTGGTCTGCTTATCACAGAGCACAGTAAGTTTTTAGAGATGTGGCATTATTTCAGTTCTTTATTCAGAGACTGATTTTGTTATTGCAAAAGAAGATAGTGTTAACTTTTATTTGCATTCTTGTCATTTTGGTGACATTTACTGAGTTTATAATCAAAATCGACGGGTTTCCCCCAGCCAGGTGTGTCTCAGCTGGTTGAGCATCATCCCATGCACCAGGAGGTTGCCGGTTGATTCTCGGTCAGAGCACAGGGCTGGGTTGTGGGTTCCAGTAGGTGGCATGTAGGAAGCAACCGATGGACTTTTCTCTCTCATCAATGTTTCTATATCTACCTCTCCCTTCCTCTCTCTGAAACCAATAAAAACATATATTTTTTTTAAATGTACCAGTTGCTGTTAAACTAGATACAATTATACTTTTAAACTTAAATGCTGGTGGAAGTATTCCTAATGAGGTAATCTGAATTCATTTTAATTCATTGTTCTGCCCCGTTATATATATATATATATATATATATTTTTTTTTTTTTTTTTTTTTTTTTTTTTAATTTCTGTATTCTAACATACGAGTATTATCTATGTCGGCTAGAAATTTGAGAAGTGTGACTTCCTGTGTCTTAAAGTTTGGTTAAAATGTGTTTGCTTGTGTAGTATGTAATTGAATCAGAGTGTGTATGGAAATCTAAAGCACTATGTAGAGACAGACCTCCGTACAGACTAGTAATCGCCAGTAGTCTTTCAGGGCTGTTCAGCTTGCTGCTAACCCATGTAATTGACATACAGTGGATTCTATCTGTGTTGTCTACTATTTTGAGTGTCTTACTCAACTTAATGCTAAATGTATAGAATTGTCCTGAGTAGCTAGTCCAAAACTCATCACAGAAAGGAAATGAGGTTTGTCTGGTGTGGCTTCTTGGGGAAGCCTTGATGGCGCTCCTGCAATATTTGTTTTTTCCCCTTCTGTAGGGGCCCACGATTCCCTCCATAACAAGCAGATTTAGGCTTTTGCCAGGAGTCAAAATCAAATTTACTGATCTATAGCTTTTTAAAAATGTGTACATTTTAAAATTTGAGGTATCGTCTTTTTGTCTCTAGTATTTTAGTGCCCTCAACTATTTTACTAATTTTATAGAGTAATGAGCATTACTGCTCTGAATGCAAGTTTTCAAACAGACTTAGTTGAACTAACTTAAAACTCCTTATACTGTTATCTCTATGTCTTTGACTACCTCAGGCTGTAGCCTTTGTGGTATTTAGTCTTTGATTTATTCTAATGTCACAGAATATATTTGCCATACAAATTTTTATTACCTGGGGCCCCGTAGTCAGAGCAACAGCGTAAATTATATGACTACCTGACAGTCACGTATACCTCAAAAGCCGTGTCACATAGATGGTGTGTATAAACAGTTGCTGGTTTTGCCCGGCTGTTGTGGCTCAGTGGATTGAGCATTGTCCTATGGACTGAGAGGTCCAGGTCCCGGTTCGATTTCCAGTCAGGGCACATGGCTGGATTGAGGGCTTCACCCCCTGTGGGGGGTGCAGGAGGCAGCCAGTCGATGTTTCTCTCTCACATCTATGTTTCTATCTTTCCCTTCCTCTCTCTCTCTACAACATCAATAAAAACATAAAATAAATAAATAGTTGCTGGTTTTACTGGAATGTTTTTTAAATGTTTCTTAAATATATATTTATATGTAAATTCCCTTAAAATTGTTTTGTTTTTAAACTTTTTTTTTTCCCTTGATTTTTGGAATGAGAAGGAGAGGAAAAGAGAGAAAAACATACATATTAGAGTGGAACATTGATCAGCTGCCTCCTGCACTCCCTCTACCAGAGATCAAGCCCACAACCTCTTGGTGTATGGGACAGTGCCCAAGCAACTGAGCCACACTGGCCAGGGCAATATAATTCATATATATATATGTAGCCCTGGCCGGTTTGGCTCAGCGGTTAGAGCGTCCGCCTGCGGTCCGGAGAGACCCGGGTTCGGTTCCCGCTAAGGGCATGTACATCGGTTGCAGTTTGTCCCCAGCCCTGGTTGGTCGTGTGGGAGGCAGCCACTCGATGTGTCCCTTTCACATCGATGTTTCCCTCTCTCTCTCTTCCTCTCTCTCCCTCCCACTCTGTCTGTACAAAAAATGGAAAAATGTCCTCGAATGAGGATAAAAAAAAAACAACAAAAAAACAAAAACAAACAAACAAACAAACAAACAAACAAAAAAATATATATATATATATATATATATATATATTCAAAATTAGGCCCTTAGTATAATGAGTATATAGCCTTACAGAATTGTGTCCTGAAATTTTGGGTTGGGTGATTTCACATAAAATTGTACAGATAATTGGCATGAAATCATAGCTAACTTGTGAAATTGTAAAACATAACTAAGGAATTTTTTTTTATTTTTTATAATCCTTGGGTTTTCTTTTCTGATACATAGTTTTTTTAAAAAGACGTCATCCTTAGGACAAAGGGACACAAACTGTGAAGTTAGAGCCAAAGCTCTAGCTGCATGTGAACCAGGAGTTATTGATCATTCTGTTTTTATCTAGAAGAGCTGTCGGAAGACGACCTGTTGAGTCAGTATTCTCTTTCATATGCAAAGAAGACCAAGAAGACGAACTGTGAAGGTAGTAAATTATTGAACTCTTCCAAAACATTTATGCCTGACCTGGTCGACAGAGCTACTATTAAGAAAACTGTAAGCACACCACCTACAACGAGAAATAAATTTGCAGCATTTTTACAGAGAAAAAATGAACAAAGTGGTGCAGTTGTGGTTCCCGGAACCAGAAGCAGGTATGGTGACATCGTAGAATGCTGTTTGTCTATTGTGCTTTCTACTGTATTGATATATATTTCAATTGTCTTAAACGAACATTGAATTTAGTTGGGGAAGATGCATGGCCTGACTTATCAAATGAGTTTTTAGCACGTTCTGCCTTAGTTCAGACCTAAATGCACGGCTGTTTTCTTGAACTTCTGCTTTTGTGATCGCTTTAAACAGAAGCCAAATGAAAATTGTAGACCTTACTATATTTTATGTTAGAAAAATTCTGGTTTGGGGAGGTGGTCTTTACTACTTTATTTCTACAGTTTTAGTTTCCTTTTTTTTTTTTTTTTATCCTCACTCAAGGACACTTTTGCATTTATCTTCAGATAGAGCGGGAGGGAGAGAGGGAGAAAGAGAGAGAGAGAGAAACATTGACTGGTTGCCACCCACATGACCCCAACCAGGGCTGAGGACAAACTGCAACCGAGGTACATGCCCTTAGCGGGAACTGAACCTGGGACTTTCTGGTCCACCGGCTGACGCTCTAACCGCTGTGCCAATCCGGCCAGGGCCAGTTAGTTTCTTTTAGAACTAAGACAATTTTACAAAGTGTTACTAGGAATATATTTAAATACAGATGAATATGAGAGCTCTAATATTAATTGAGAACTTGATACAATAGTAGGTGTTGGGATACAAAAATGAGAGACGTAGCCCTGGCCAGTTTGGCTCAGTGGTTGCAGCGTTGGCCTGCGGACCAGAGAGTCCCGGGTTCGGTTCCCGCTAGGGGCACGTACCAAAAAAAAAAAAAATGAGAGACGTAGGTTTTATTCTTGAGAAGTTTATAGTACAGTTGGAAAAATAAGTCCATAAACAGAATTTTTTCATCTGTGTGGTAAGTGCAGTGATACAAGCATAAGGTGTTTTGAGGGCATTAAAGGGGCATCTAATGCTGCATCAGTGGTTGGAAAGGGTGGGAAGGAAGGGGCGAGTGTTAGGTGCCATTATCTCAGTTGAAGTGACTGGTGGGTAAAGCCAACCAAGGATGGAGTCCAACACCTTCCCACCAGAGTCAGACAGCTTGGGCTCGGGCGTGGCAGTGAGCAGCAGCCATGGGAGAGCCTACTGGCCGCTGGTGGCTGTGGTCACCACTGCTAGAGGATGACTTGGGAAAAGGATGATCAGGGAGCTGAAGTAGACAGTTCATGGAAGGCTTGTAATCCCAGGTAAGGAACTTTTAGTCTTTAGAGGTGACCGGAAACATGCACAGGGTTTGAATCACAGCTGGGCTATGACTTGATTCCTGGTTTAGAAAGACCACTCTGAGCACACTGAAGAATGGATTCTAGCCCTGGCTGGTTTGGCTCAGCAGTTAGAGCATTGGCCTGCGGTCTGGAGAGACCTGGGTTCGGTTCCTGCTAAGGGCATGTACCAAGGTTGCAGTTTGTTCCTGGCCCTGGTTGGGTTGTGTGGATGGTAACCATTCAGTGTGTCCCTTTTACATTGGACATGTCGATCTTTCTCTCTCTCTCTTCCTCTCTCTCCCTCCCACTCTATCTGAACAACAACAACAAAAAGGATTCTAGAGAGCCAGATATGGGCCAGGAAGTTTAGTTAGACTGTTGCCATGGTACCTGCTAGTGATTATGAGAATATGAAGTCAGTACAACTTAAGGGTTAGAAATGTGGACCCGGGTGTTAGACTACCTGAATTTGAATCCTGTTCTGTTTACTCATGAGATGCTTGATTTGGGCAAGTTACTGCTACTAACAACTTCAGGGCCTTTGAGAGGATTAATTTATTACTGTAAATAAAGTACCTAAAACAGTGCCTGATAGATAATAAAAATCAATGCAAAGCTCTTATATTATTGTCTGGTTCGTGGTACCACGAGAAACAGGAAAATTGAGAGTCAGAGGTCTTTTATTTTGACATGCTCTACTAACTCTAAGAAAGAGAAAATTCACCAGCCCCTGTATTCCTCCAGAAGACTTGGAGTGAATAGTTTTTATTTTTCAAGTTCAGTAAGCCAGGCTGCAGCCAGTTTTGCCTCACCTTGACAGTGGTAGTTGGTATGAAAGAATGGACCGCTGGTAAAATCCCTCAACCACGCTGTAGGTGAGGTCTCAGACCCTTCTCCCATCAGGTCTTCTCAAGGAAACAGTCACAATACAATTAAATGATCATTTTGGTTCTTCCTTTGCTAGTCGCCCTCATTAAAGGTACTTGTTAGCAGTGGAATGATGAAAAGGTAGGCCGAAAAATATGGAAAAGGGTTCTAGATGATATACTGATTAATAAGTTCTAGAAATTTTACTTTTCTCAGTTGGGGAAATTTTTGGAGCTTGTGTTTCATTTTTCTTTGGGTGAAACTAGAATTTCCTTTTCTGCCTCCCAGCGTTTAATGAGGATGTCCATGTGTCTTTGCAGGATTTGCTTGTTTAGTCATTGTGGAAGCTTAATAAAATCTCCATCTGAAGCTGTACATAGCTGCTTTATATTGTTTAGTTTGATGTTGCACAAATGCTTGGAGAAAGAATCTTTCTCCATCAGCTTCCTGTGAAATAATAATTGGTCTTTGACGTATAATTTTCTGATCTGGATAATAAAAACTAAATATTATTCCATTAGTTTCCTTGGTTTATTTTCAAGGTTTCTTTTATATGTTCTCTTGTTCCTCACAATATTATGAGACAGTCAGGGTTGGTGTTATGTTTTTTATTTGGCTAAGAAATTGAGCCTTCTAGAGGTTAAGAAACTTTCCCAGGGTTGTGGGTTAGTACTGCTGATAGGAAAGATTCACAGTCACAGGGCCATGGTGGAGGGAAAGGAACACAGGTTTGGGAGGCCAGGCTTGAATTCTCAGTCATCTAATTATTGTGGGACCTCCCACATACCATTTAACTTCCCTGACCCTATTTCTTTATCCATAAACTGCAGATGATCATGTACAAAGGCTATTCAAGTATTCATTTCCACCCCACTGTTGTTGATATAATGCAAAATATTGTCTCTGATCTTTACTTTTTTGGAAGACTATTTTAATTTTAAGTCTTCTTTATCTTTATTATATAGATACTTTAGAACTTGTCATTTTATCTTTTGAGATAGAAATATAAATGTCAGTTAACTAATCCCACAGGCTAATTGGGAAGAAGCAGCCATGAACTGAGGGGTTCTGGGTTTTTACTCTGTTCTGTAGCTTATTAATTTTATAACCTGGGCACTGTCACTTCTCTTACCCATGAATAATACATGGAGAAATATCTGGATAGCATAGGGATTATTGTTTACGTAAGAAGGAATCATGTGATCAGATCTAGGAGCTGATGTTCTGTGCTCATTGGAAATCTTGGTAAGACCTTTCCTTCCATGTCCTGCGTCTTTCTGCCCTTGCCCCACACCTGTCAGTAGGGGATCTGGTGAGAGGATGGAGAGGGTCTTACTGTCCAGCGTATAATAAATACTCTGCTCATATTTTGAGCTTCAACTCGATGATGCTTATTGAGGAGGTAAATTCTCTTTAAGTTTTATATGTATCTGTGTACTCTGGAATTTTCTTTTCAAACCTAAAAATTCTCCTTGAATACATCTTCCCCAATAATGACACTCATCTCTCTTTCCTTCGTATTGAAGTATGTTGGAGTAGCTGTCTTTTTTTAAAGATGCCACACTGAATAAGTAATACTTCTTTAGTATTATGGGATTTAATGATCGATTTGGAACTCTCAACCTCAGTATTAAAATAGTATAGAAGGGTATAGGGTATATAAAAATCTGGTGGGTTAATTTACTACTTCAGTTTCCACATGGCTTGCTACTAGGAATCAAGCTAAGATGAGGAGTAAATGGCTAGTTTGCTTTCTACAAAATATGGGACAGTAATTGTACATTGTCTTTTCTGTTGGATATTTGTATCTGTTCAAGTATGTGGCTTTCAGGCCCGTGTTAGCCACTACTTTAGTACCTACTATGGAGATGCAAAGGCATAGACAATACCTGTCCTCTAGGAGCTTATAGTCTGGAAGTTAAAAAGGTTAGCAGAAAGAATATCTATATAATGATTAGGTATGGATAAAATACACAAGCTCTAAATACATGTATATATAGATGACTGCTTTTAGAAATACCTAAAAAAATGTATAAATAAAATGTCTAAATGTGTGAATCAAAATTGAACTTTCAAGCTCTATTTTTGCTTTATAAAATTATTTATTTATGAGACATTTATTCATTTATTTATTTATTTTTATTAACTTTTAGAAAGAGAGGGAGAGGGAGTGATAGAAACATCGATTGATTGGCTGCCTCCTGCATGCCTCATACCGGGGATCCAGCCCAAAACCTGGGCATGTGCCCTGACCAGGAATCAAACCAGTGGTGACCTTCTGATTCATGGGTTGATGCTCAACCACTGAGCCACACTAGCTGGGCTATGAGACTTTGAAGAAACGGGGCCCTGGCCAGTTTGGCTCCGTGGTTAGAGCATCAGCCAGTGGACCAATGAGTTGCAGGTTCGATTCCAGTCGAGGGCATGTACCTCGGTTGCAGTTTATCCCTGGCCCTGGTTGGGTCATGTGAAAGGCAGCCAGTCGATGTGGCTCTATCACATCGCTGTTTCTCCCTGTCACGCCCTCTCTTCCTCCCTCCCACACTATCTGATGATAAATAGAAAAATAAGAAGAAACTGGGCCATATTCTGAATCTTATCACCTTGTGAGGAAACTAAAATACTTATGCATTCTTTCTGTTGTTTTTTCTGTTAGGTTTTTTTGCAGTTCTCTGGATCCTATGGACTGTGTATCAAAGAAAGCAAGCACTCAGCCTCTAGATGAAACTGCTGTCACAGACAAAAAGACCAATATAAATGAATCAGATTGTCTAGAGGGCAGGAACTCAGTTGATCTGAATGAATCAGGTTGTCTAGAGGGCAAGAACTCAGTTGATCTGAATGAATCAGGTTGTCTAGAGGGCAAGAACTCAGTTGATCTGAATGAATCAGATTGTCTAGAGGGCAAGAACTCAGTTGATCTGAATGAATCAGGTTGTCTAGAGGGCAAGAACTCAGTTGATCTGAATGAATCAGATTGTCTAGAGGGCAAGAACTCAGTTGATCTGAATGAATCAGGTTGTCTAGAGGGCAAGAACTCAGTTGATCTGAATGAATCAGGTTGTCTAGAGGGCAAGAACTCAGTTGATCTGAATGAATCAGGTTGTCTAGAGGGAAAGAAGCTGTTTGATGGGAATGTAGCACATAATTCAAGGGATCAGATTCCAGATGATGTAACTGTGATAGCTGATGAAGAGTCTCAGTATTTTAAGACCAGCAAATTCACAAGGACTGTTTCCCCACCCACTTTGGGGACACTAAGAAGTTGTTTCAGTTGGTCTGGAAGTCTTCGAGATTTTTCAAGGACTCCGAGCCCCTCTCCAAGCTCCACATTGCGCCAGTTCCGGAGAAAGAGTGATTCCCCCAGCTCTCTGCCTGAGAGGAAGGTGCCTGGTGTGTCTCAGATCAAGAGTGATGAGTCGGGTGATGAAGCTCATCCTTTACGTAAACCGGGCTGGTCTCCACAGTCTCGGGAAAGTGTAGAATTACCACCACACAACTTAAATTCACGTTCTCAGCTTGCGACTAAGGATTTCAATTCACAGGTAAGTCACATTATGAAACCTTTGTTTTCAAATGTATATATACAATTCAGATGTGCTGCAGAGAAGCCCTAAAGAAAAGAGGTGAATGTTCTCAACTTAGTAAGGAGAGAAAAAACTGCTGAGGTAGCTGAGGTCTGTGGTAAGAATGCATCTTCCATTGTGAAACTGAAGAAGGAAAAGGGACTTGTGCTAGTTTTGCTGTTGCACCTCACACTGCAGAAGTGATGGCTGCAGGGTGTGTGCACGGTTTGGTGTTGATGGAAAAGGCATCAGACTATCACAGGTGTGTGTGTACAGGAAAACAGGGTTGGGCACTCTCCACATTGCAGGTGTACAGTGGGGGTCTTGGAACTTATCCCCCACGAATAAGGGGGACCACGGTAAATGGATTCAGACAGCAGTCGCCTAGAGGCAGTGAAGGGGTAAGCGAGAGGCTCACTTTTTTTTCTTCTTTATTGATTATAGAGAGAGGAAGGGAGAGGGAGATAGAATCATCGGTGAGAGAGTACATCAACTGGCCGTCTCCTGCATGCCCCTCACTGGGGATTTGGCTCACAACCTGGGCATGTGCCCTGACCAGGAATCGAACTGGCGACTTCTTGCTGCATGGGTCGATGCTCAGCCAGTGAGCCACTTTTCTCTATTCTATAACTCTTGAATTTAGTGCCAGGTGCTGCATGTGTTACCTGTTAAAATTATGATAATTTGTGTAGTAGATGTTTATAAAATAGCACATCTTTTCACACTGTTTATGTTATTTTTCTGTTCCAGAGTATAAATAGTTTGAAATTAACTAAAGATTGTTGCTTTAACAGAATAGTATTAAATCGGATTTTACTCCTCAGGTTTCTGGGCTGTATAAATCTAGTTCTGCAGACAGTCTTTTTACAACCAAGATCGAGCCTCTGGTACCTGCCCGAGTCAGTGGACTGAGCAAGAGGCCGGCAAGAATCCAGAAGAGGAAACATCATGATGCTGAGAACAAGCCAGGATTGCAGATAAAAATCAATGAGCTCTGGAAAAATTTTGGATTTAAAAAGTGAGTTGTTTCGTTACTGTAAAACAGAATAAATTATTATTTTTTCTGTAATTTCGATCTTTCTCCCAACTTTCTATTTCCATATGAATCAGTATCTTTTTCTCTTACCTAAGAGAACTATATTCCCCTATTTCCTTTAGCTGTCTCCTTGTAAGTATATTTAACTTTAATTTCTGTACCTTCTTTTAGTGAAAAGTCGGCAAACTCAAAAAACTTCAGTTCTCAGTCTGGCTCCTGGGGTCTGAGTGTCTCAGCTTTGTTTTCTTTATCTCTTAGGATTGTCATGAGAACAAGGTTGTTTAAGACATGGGGATTGGAGGTAATGGTACTTCTGGACTTAAATCAGTTTCTTTCCCTAAATGATCACATCTAAAATAGGAGAAATCGTTGAGTTTATCTGATGAATTGGGCAGATTTCTGATGTGTGTGGCAGCCACTGTTTTAAATGAATTGGCCCTGTCTATATCTACATTTTTTGGACCACAGTATTTCCCTGTTAGGACTGCAAAGGTAGCTACAGAGTAACACTGTTTTATAATTCCTTTTTATCTTATTCTTAATGAAGCAAATGCACTAAGAATAAAAGTTTAAAAAAATTATAACTGTATATTTTAATGGCCTTTGTATTTAATAGTATATCTTATTTTGATATTATATCAAAATTCAGCAGGCAGCAGTGTTGTAAGGTCGCTGCGATGTAGAGCACGAAACCCCGTCGCTGACTTGCCGCGCATGCGCTGTGCCGCACCCGAGAGCGTGGTGCTCGAGCCTGATTTCGTTACATCCGAGTCGCTCGTTGGGAAAGTGGGCTTGTTTCTCCAGTGCTGGCACATTTTATTACGCAGTATTTTAAAAACTCAATCTTATCATCAAAGTGTTTGAGTATTCAGAAGCTGTCAGGGGGCAAACTCAAGTTTTCCAAAATTCAGATTTTTACTTGAAAGCTTGAATGTTATCGTTGGCAACACATACGTCTAGTTGCTGTCTTTGCAGTAGGCTCTTTTTGTTCATTTACAGCAGCCCTTTGCCAGGTACTGAAATTTGAAGACCAGTAGTGTCACAGGTGCTTTTACTTGAGATAATCCTCATACTTCAGGTCACAGCAAGAGTCAGTGTTCAACAAAAGTGCATCGTGTTTCCCTTTGTGTTATAGTATTAAAAAGTCGAGAGCATTGAGATTTTATGAAATTAATGATTTTTGCTGCTGTGTCAAGAATTTTAAGTGAGACTGGTTTTTTTTGTTTTTTACATAGAAGTGGAGAGTACAAATACTTGCTTCCAGGACAAAAAAAATTCAAAAACATAGGGGTTGGAGGAGTAAAAGATAAGGCTAGAACATTTGTTCATGCCTCACTTGTATTGGTTCTTAGCAAGGCTTGAGAAGGGTGCTAAGTAGAAAAGAATTCGTTTCTGTATGGAATCATTCTGCCTAACTAATATATATTTATTAGTGACTCAGCACCTACTTTGAAAGGTCATTGAGAAACCAGGAAGGGACTCTGAGGCAGGTGTTATTGGATGCCCTCGGAAAACCTGACTGTGCATATAATGAGCGGAGGCAAACTGCATACCTGCCCTTTATATGCCGTTATTCTGTCCAGGGTGCACATTCCCTAGCATCACCACTCTAAAAACACCAAGTTCGTTTCATTCTGTTCTATTTTGCAGAGATTCTGAAAAGCTTTCTTCTTATAAGAAGCCAGATCCCCTGTCTCCAGTCAAAGATAATATTCAACTAACTCCAGAAACAGAAGAAGACATATTTAACAAATCTGAATGTGCGCGTGTTCAGAGAGCGATATTCCCGTAAACGGGCAGCTGGGCAGCTCGTGCCCACCGAGACTTGTCCATCTGCGGTCCTGCTTGGACATGAGGCCATCACCAGTCTGAAAGATTTGTTCTTAGATATATAACCCTTTTTAAAATAGAGTACATTTTGTATATTAACCATGTGATTGTTTCTTTTGTTCGGCTTTTTTTTTTTTTTTTGGGTACGTGCCCCATGCATCTGTCTGCAGGCCAACGCTCCAACTCTGGTCCGCAGGCCTGCGCTCCAACTGCTGAGCCAAATCGGCCAGGGCTTGTTCGGTTTTTTGTGTTTTCATTAACTAGATAAATTATTTTATTTTTGACACTTTTGGGGAGTTTTAATGTTAATTGGGCAAGTCTACTGGAATTTATAAAAATTTACTCTCAATATTTCTGTTACATTGTCAAACATAAGAATGGTAAGTAGAAAACCACAATTCTGTGATTATTTCTCTATTATTTACAGAGGAAATCACTGTATTTCTCCAAGCTTTAAATTTTTCCACCTACCTCTTCTGTCTTGCTACGTTGAATTGAAAATAAAGTTGCTGGGATGGGGAGGTAGTTGGAAGGCTTAAAATTATTGCTCAAATGGGATAGTGTTTTATTTACCCCTGGAGAGTTTGGTTGGTTACAGATTTGACAGAGGAAGAAAATTGCTTTTAGCTTTAGGTGAAAGGAACTACTTCTTATTAATATTCTTCAACTTTGAAATAGCCTTTTTTTAAATGTCTTTTTTGAAGTACAGGCTAGAAATTCATTAACATACATTTAAAACTGGTGTCCTAGGTGTGATATGAGATTGAATTGCAAAGTCTGTAGTATGTGCAGTCAGTCTACAGGGACAGGCAGATACCTGGTAAGAGAACCAGCATCTAAGATATAGAAGATGAAGGATGGGGACCCAGAGTGTTTTCATTTTTAAATGAGGCTTTAATAGAGGACTTTGGGCTAAAGAGGTCAGAATGGAACATAACATTGTAAGAAACAGCATAGAATTTTTAAAAACAAAAAAATCTGGAAAGAACTAAATCTAAAGAACAGAAGCAAATCTGTTTTCTGTGGATGTTTCCTGCTATGGAACGAATTAAGAAAGCAAATCAAATAATATTTATCTTCTTGCTCATTTAAAATGCCACTTAAGCCCTGGCCAGTGTGGCTCAGCTGGCTGAGTGTTGTCCACCGCACTGGGGTGGCTTCATTGGGCATCGATCCATCACCGAAAGGTTGCCTGTTCAGTTCCCAGTCAGCACATGCCTGGGTTTCGGGCTCAGTCCCCAGTTCAGGGTGTGCAGGAGCTCATATCAATGTTTCTCTCCCTCTTTGTTCCTCTCTAAAAATCAATTTTTAAATATTTTTTAAAATAAAATGTCAAAGGACAGAAAAGGAATGAAGCATTACAGACTCACAAAGGCTAGTAGAAGACGAGCTGGGTAAGGAAACATAAATGGCAAGTGATTTAGTACATCAGTTCTCCAGTGACAGAAGCCAAAAGGAGGTAAAGGTTTAGGTGGGCTTAGTACATGGAGATGTCATGCAGATTCCTTTAAAGTGGGGGCTCACGGTAAGGCTGAAATGGGATTGGCTGCAAACATTTAATTAAGATTCTCGTGGGAGAAGGGGAAGTGGCAGCTGTGCCCCCGTTTTCCAGTCTTCAAACCCCCACAACTGGATAGCAAGTTAAAACCCATGAACATTACAAGAAATCTGGGTGACTGATAACCTAAAATTCCAAAGTACAAGTGGGTGAAGACAAACCAGCCACAGCCACAGGACCACATGCAGGTCCTGGCATCTGGGAGCAGAGGGAGGAATAGACCATCTAGTGGGCCTGAGGCGAACTAGAATAACCACCGAAATGCACAGCAGGCCCAATAGGAAACGGCACTGGAGACAGGTTCTGCCCTTTCCGACGGCGTGTCCACAGGCCTACAGGGGTGACGTGAGAGACCAGCAGTCTAGTCCAAGTGCCTTACTGAGGCTGGTTCACCAAGGCTCCCTTCTAGCATGGGTCCCCTCGGGAGGGAAAGTGCTGGAAGTTAGGCCAGAACTGAGCAGGAAATGAGCTTAAAGTGGAAGAAGGAACTGTTGGCCAAGAAAGCTCAGCAGAATGCCCTGTTTTCTTCTAACACTTAGAAGCTCTAAAAGCCCTACGAACCATGCTTTCTTCTTAAAGTTGAAGAAAATGAATTTTGTGCCCTGGAAGGTTTGGTTCAGCGGTTAGAGCATCAGCCTGCGGTCTCGAGAGACCCGGGTTCAGTTCCCGCTAAGGGCATGTACCTCGGTTGCAGTTTGTCCCTGGCCCTGGTTGGTCGTGCGGGTGGCAGCCACTCGATGTGTCCCTTTCACATCGATGTTTCTCTCTCTCTCTCCCTCCTACTCTATCTGAACAAAAAAAAAAAATGTCCTTGGGTGAGGATAAAAAACAACAACAACAACAAAAAAAGAAAATGAATTTTGCTTCCAAAGAAACCACAGAAACATTTTTAGACCAACTTCTTGCAAAGTTAGTATTTTTCAAAAGAATCAGGCAGAATAATATCAAATGAAAATCTACCAGAAAGGCCCACAGAACAGATCAAAACTAGTTTAAAGTACTCAAATGATAGAAGATATAAAGGAAAACTAGGATTGTAAAAATTTTTTAAAAGGGAAACTCAGGTAAGTATTAGAAATAAGCATTTCAGAAATGAAGGCCGAACACAAGCAAAAGAGGTAAAATCAAAAACATTTTTAAAGATTAAGAAGTAACAAATATTGAAGATAAGGACAGAAGGTCCAACAGGAGTCTGAAGGGGAAAAATTTTCAAAAAATCTTTCTAATTTAACAAGATTTAAAACTATAAAGTGCACTCTTGTACCTAAGATTATTGACCCCAAACAGCCTACAGCAAGACAGAAGTAAAAGTTACTTTACTTTTAAATATAAATTTTTTAAAAAAGAGTAAATGACATATAAGAAAAACATTAGATGATCAGGTGTTTTCACAATTATTCTTTATGCTTGAAGAATGTAACATTTAACTCAAAAACTAGGAGGATTTTATATCCAAAAATAATTTGTCTTTCAAGTATATGAGCACAGACAAGCATCCAACATACAAGAATTTGGGAAATACTGTTCCTTAAGCTTGTACTGAGGAGTCCCACCAGAAAATGAGCTGCGGTGGATAACAAAGAACCAGGGAAATAGCATCGGAAAGACTGGGGGTGGGCATTAAATAGTATTTGTAAAATTGGGGTGCAGGGGTGAGAGCATGAAATGCAATGGCTGTGCTGTATGCCCCAGTGACATACATAGACAAGGAGGGACAGCATTTGCAGAGACAGTTGGTTTAGCTGGTGGTACTTAGTCTGATAGTGCTATTTTAAGACTGTGTGTATGGTGTGGGATAGAATACATGAATATTTATGGGACTTTTAGTACATCCCCAGTTTTCTTAAAAACCAGGATTCTTGATGGGGAGGGGGATACTGAACAAGTTAATTTAACATTTCTGTAGTTATGAATTTGAATTAAGAGTGCTGATAAAAGGGTGGGGGGTGGGAAGAGATAAACCACAGAACTTATATGCATGTATGCATAACCAATGGACAACAAAGCCGGGGATGGGGAGGGGGTGCCAAAGGGGTAAAAAAGGAGAAACATCTGTAACCAAAAAAAAAAAATTTTAATTAAATTTTTAAAAAGTGCTGATAAAGCCCTGGCCGTTGTTGCTCAGTGGTTAGAATCGGGTTCAATTTCTGGTCAAAGGCAGGTACCTGGGTTGCAGGTTTGATCCAGACCTACTTGGGGCACATGTGGGAGGCAACAAACTATCGATGTGTACCTATCGATGTGTTTCTCTCACATGGATCTCAGTCTCTCTCTCTCTCTCTCTCTCTCTCTCTCTCTCTCTCTCTCTCTCTCCCCCCTCCCTCCTCCCACCCCCCTTTCTTCCACTCTGGAAAAAAATGGAACAAGATTCTCAGGCGAGGATTAACACACACACAAAGTTACCCAATGCTGTACCAATAAGCATCCTTATTACTCAGCTTATTAATCTTAAAACACCACTTTTTACTAAAACAGGAGGGGGAAAAAAGCTTCATAAAAAATAGCCTGGCAGGACATGTAAAAGATAAGCTGCTGTATAATTTTTAAATGATTCAGGAGTCCACTTGAGGCTCCCACTGTCTAAAAATAGGAAAATTCGATCATGAAAAGGGATCATTGAATGTATTGAAAACCGTCACAAATGTATTAAAGATACTTGTTCACCTTCAGGATGGTAGAGTACCAATTCATTATCTTGAAAGTGTAAAGTGAAGGAGAAATATCATTTTTTCCCATCTTTTCTCTAAACTGGACCACTGGGGGGCCAAAGAGCAGACGAAGGCAGGAAGATATCTTCAGTGCTCTAATAAAGGAAAAGATGAGATAACATCACCATTTCGCACCCTCCAGTGGATGAATGGATTGGGGTCCCGCGCATCAGCTGCTGTTAATATCACAAAAATGGACAACCAGACCCATGCCTCTTGAGAGAATTCAACATCCTCTATCTTGCCAATAACTTGGAGATGAGTCTGAGCCTCTGGACGCAGCTGACAAACTGCAGGGCATGCAGAGGACAGAGGGAGGGACACATGGAACTGTAGCATGAGTGCAATTAGCATAGAAGCCTGGGATTTTATTCCTTTTTAATATATATATATATTTTTTAATTGATATTTAGAGAGGAAGGGAGAGAAAGAGAGCTAAACATTGATTTGTTGTTCCACTTATTTATGCATTCATTGGTTGATTCTTTTATGTGCCCTGACCAGGGATCAACCTACAACCTTGGCATATGGAGAAGACACTAACCAACTGAACTACCCGGTCAGGGTTGCCCTGGGATTTTCAACATAAATTGTAAAGAAAGGGATGGGAAGGGAAATTTTATATTTAAAAAAACGGACAAAACTAAATTAGATAATTTAGGGATACCCACTTTGGTGATAAGACAATAAAAAATAATTTAAAATGTGACAACTATAAAATTCAGGATAGTGGTTATTCAGCAGGAGAGATATTGATTATTAGGACAAAGTACAGCAAGGGGATTCTGGGAGTGGCTAGCAGAGTGTTTTATGGTGACCTGGGTAGTGTA